CACACACACACACACACACACACACACACACACACACACACACACACACACACACCTGCCCTGATATTTTTCCTCTCTGGCTTGTTGGAGCAGAGCTCAGACTGAGGCCAGCTCAGCCATACGGCCTATGACTCATGCCCACCCCCTTTCCACCCGATCCCTGAAGACCCTCACCACTGCCAAGCTTCTCACCCTCCCAGGAACTTACATCAAAGGCGTGGGCAAAGGAGGAGGCCAGCTTAACACTGAGCCTGGAGAGAGAAGAGAGATGTTGAGGGGCTTCAGCTCCTACCACACCACCTGCTGAGAGCTGTTCCACCCACCCCAGCCCTATCCCAGTCCCAGCCTGCCCCAGCCATAGCTCTCCAGGATCAGGAAATGGGGTTACAGGCCCAACTCCACCTCTGTCCAGCCTGGACTCAGAGACGAAGTTTCCCTACATGTAGAATGAACCTGGAGGGATCTAACCTCTCTTTGTGGCTTCACCTCTGAACCCACAGCCTTGGAGCCTTGGTCTGACTCCCAGCTGTCTAACCCTGGGTGAGTGGCTGAACCTCTCTGAGGAGCAGCCCTCCCCCAGACTGAGCACTGGACACAGAGTGCCCTGCATACAGCAGGTGCTCACTAAAGGCAACAGCAGAACCACGCAGGGGGCAGAAGTAGCCTGGGGGGCCCAAGGGGACACTGAAATGGAGTCAAGTGAGCACTGGGTGCCTACAGCTCAGGACAGGTGGGTCCCAGAGACCCATGGGAAAGCCCCTGTGACCAGGCGAGGGACGGGCAGGCCACAGGCCCTGCCATGGTGACAGTACTGTGCCTGGAGGATGGAGGCCCAGACCTGCCTCCAGGGAACACCCCCCATGTGAGCCTGGGCAGCAGTGTGCTTTGCAAACTGTAAAGTGCTGTTCGTGTGGAAGGAAGGACTGTCATCTGCAACATCATCAGGGTTCTTACAATGATCATGATGCTTAGTTACCACGGGGTGGGGGAGAGCAGAGAAATCACAAGTCCACTCAAACAACAAGACACTTTACAACATTCAAGGATCGTCATCTCCATGGTTAGCCATAGGGGCTGATGGCTCAGGAGTGTGAACTCCATATCCTGGTGGCAGGTTTGCCCCTCAGAGACAGGTTTTGATCAGAAAAGGGGCAGTGGAAGAAGCCCACCCTGGAGCCCGCCTCTCTGAACCCTGGCTGCCCTGTCTGTAAAGTGAGCTAACGCTGTCCCCTCCCTGGCAGGCCCTGAATCCCTCAGAGACAGGTTTTGATCAGAAAAGGGGCAGTGGAAGAAGCCCACCCTGGAGCCCGCCTCTCCGAACCCTGGCTGCCCTGTCTGTAAAGTGAGCTAACGCTGTCCCCTCCCTGGCAGGCCCTGAAGGCAAGGAAGACACTGGTAAAACACCTGGAACGTAGTTGATGCTCAATAAATGGAAGGTGGTTCCTGTCGGTCTCTAACTCTTGTCCCTAAAGACAAGAAGAGGATCCTGTCCCCAGGATCCCACATTACCGTTCCAGGGACAGGGAGACGTGCAGCTTGGTGGCCGAGGGAGCCAGCTGGGCATTTAGAGTCATAACCTGCAGGGAAGAAGCAAGCAGAGATTACCCTGAATTTGGCAGGATCTTGAGAACAGGTCTGCCTGGCCCAGCAGGCGAATCTCCACCATCTGTTTTCTCCACTAACCCTTATTGAGGCCCTGGGAGGTAACTCGAAGGTTCTGGTGTTCAAAAACCAGAGTATTAAAATTGAGGGTGACTGGTATTGGATGAGAGGAAGCTCTGGGGCTGCAGGAGCTTCGAGAGACCTAACATCCAGCCTGCAGTGGGGTGGGGGAAGGCTTCCCAATGAGGGGACACCTGAGATGAATCTTGAAAGACCAGGAGGTAGCCGAGGGAAGGGGAAACTGCAATGCAGGTGGGGGACTTGCACAAAGGAGGCAGGGAGGTGGGGCCTGGTAGGCCCGTGTGACTAAGGCTCAGGGTGCAAGGACGGGCAAGGCAGAGGATGAGGCAGGAGGGAGTTGAACGTCAGGCTCAAGGGCTTGGCCATGGAGAGCCAGGGAGGAGAGTGGGCAGGGGAGGGGCCTGCCTCGGCCTGGATGTGTGCTTGGGACAGCTAGGCAGGGAGGAGGGAGGGAGGCAAGACTGGAGGTGGGGGGCCAGAGGAAGCTGGGGGGCCATCCAAGAGATAGCTGAGCAGAGGGAGGCTGGGGAGGTGAGAGCACTTCTCGAGGTCCCCACGAAGCAGAGTGGACAGGCCTCGGGCCTGGTCAGACGTGATAAGGGCACAGGCAGGAGTCTAGGCAGGCACAGGGGGCTCAGCCCAGATGATGACAATGTGTAGGGGGGAGGTCCTGTGCTGTGCTACATGGGGCTTCCCAGCTTGAAATCAGGGGAAACGTACCCTGGAGGCCCCACTCAGAACCCCAGTGTCGGGCCCCCACACACCCCTCGGCCACTCACCCCGTTCAGCTCAAAGAGGGCTTCAGGGGTCCCTTGAGGGACATAGGACAGAACGTGGATGTTAGCTGGGATGGAGACCGTGGCCTTCTTGTTCTGGAGCATGACCGTGGGTGCTTCCTTCACCCGCAGTGAGAGCAGGAGGTGCTGGCCGGGGGGCAACTTCCCCAGGGCCTAGAAAGAGGCAGGGGCAGAACAAGGGGGTGTGGGGGCAGCTTAGATGCCCCAGAATTAGAATCAGTCAGTCAGTCAACAAACACTCATGGGGCACCTACTGGGCACCAGGTACCACCCCGAGCACTGAGGTTACAGCCTGAACCAGACAGGTCTGGTCTCGGCCCCATGAGGTTGATATATCCAGGTGGAGAGACACCAACCCATGGGACCACTAAATCAGACTGTCTCATGCAGAGTCAAAATCCTCCCTGAGGACTGCAGGCCTCATGTGTTTTATCCCCACCCAACTTCTCTCCATCTCACTTCCTCACCTCCCACTGCCGGCCCCTCCTCCTGCCCACTCCAGACTCCCTGGCTACCGTGCTGTTCCTCCAACCTGCCAGGCACGCTCCCACCTCGGGGCCTTTGCACCTGCTGTTCCCTCTGCCTGGAAATGCCTTCCCCACATGGCCGCGTGGTCCCCTCCCTCACCTCCTCAGTGAGGCCCTGAAGGCACCCTGCTTAAAAGCATGACCCCGGTGCTCCTAATCCTCCTGCGCTGCCACATACTCCTCCACCTTCTTTTTTTTTTCTAAAAGATGACCGGTAAGGGGATCTCAACCCTTGACTTGGTGTTGTCAGCACCACACTCACCCAGTGAGCGAACCGGCCATCCCTATATGGGACCCGAACCCGTGGCCTTGGGGTTATCAGCACCGCACTCCCCC